TAAATTTAGAATATTGATTTTTACTATAATATTTTGAAATTAACTATAAAAAATAAACAACCTTGTGGGAAATACTTATTTTGCTTGTCCTGGCTATTGCAAGTCATAACAAAAGATAAGTGATGATTTTAGGAACTCGACACTAGAGGGGACTAAAATTTTTAAGCAGAAGAAAAAAATACAAGCCTGTTCTTGATGTCAATTAATTCTGGGACTTACAAAATGACACAAAACATTATAACACTGGAAATATTAAAGGAGATCTTTAAAGGATGGAGACAGAAATTAGTAATTACAATATCAACACTGTCAGTAATTGTGAGCCTCCCCAGGGAGACCAGACAGGAAACACGACCAGATGAGCTAATTCTACTTTACTATATGGGTACATTAACAGAATCTTGCAAGTCTGAAAATACAAATCCCTCACTGTCTCCTTACAGCCTGATCAGCTGCCCAATAGGCAGCTGTGGTCTAAGCCCTCTCTTATCTGACTGTTCCTCAGGCAACATCTCTTCACTCTGTCTCTCAAGGTCCTTTTCCTTGATCTTCTTATGCAGTGTACCAAACTCTAATCCAGCACTTTCTCTACCTGCCAGCATCTAGCCATACATTTAATAAGATAAGAAAAAATGAGATTCCTTACTTTGATAACAGCAGCCATAAAATGTGGGAAAATGTATTTATGACCAAAGTGAAAATGAGAATTTAATAAAAGCCTTCTTTGTGGTCATTGAAATGCACTCTAATATTTCTGTAAATATATCATGCAGGGGTAGCAAGATTACATAGGCATAAGAACATAAAGAAAGAACAAAAGTTTTCTGTCATCAATTTACTTTTTCTGGCTATCTGTTCCCTACATTGCATGGCAGCTATTCCCTGTAGAATATAAAAACATTAAGCTCTTAAAATGTCACTTTAAATTAAAGCCAGTATGTTTCAATTGGCTAATTTATTTATATTCTTGATGTAATTTTCAAAAGTGGGCTGACACTCAGTTTAGCTGTGCACTTCTTTTTCCATCAAGGAAATAACTGATGGGACTTTATTCAGCAGCAAGTAGATATTTTTGCTATACTTTTTTGTGGTTTAGACTACATATAGCATAGGTGTACTAGTTCATTATTTCATATTGCTTTAAAAAACTACAAAAACTTTTGTGTATGATCTTGGATTCTTTTCATTTCTCTCAATAGAAGAGAATATTGGTAGCTCATGGTTGAACTGTGGAGTCCTTGGGGTTCTCTGAGCTTGGTTGTTTTCTTGCAAATGTTTCATTACCGGCTAGGTAACATCTTCACTGCTAGCAGGGACTGGGGTTTGCTCTCTGTTTACATACAGTGGCTTGCCCTGCCAGTATTGGTGGGGGTGGGGGGTTTTCCCCTCCCCCTCTTTGGTAGTTCCTTGATTAGGGTATTGTTTACTGCTTGAAACAATACCCTAATCAAGGAACTACCAAATAGAAGGAAAAAAAGCCACACCCCACCACCACTGGCAGGGCATGCCACTGGGCAGTTTACAACAATTTAAAAAAATACAATATAAAAACATATCCTAATGGATTGTTTTCATGTATAGAAACGTCTTTTTAATAGAAATAGAAATATGGATGTGTATGATTTTGTATCTCTAAAGATAGCAGTACATGTAATTAAAGTAGTAAAATATACTCCCAAACTATGTAGAGAATATTTGCTTGGTTTTTGTCAGTCTCTTTTCTTTTCTTGTATTTTCTTCTTGTTTATGTTTGATTATCATTGCATGTATAGATAAAACTTGAAAATAATTTAGGAATAATTTATGGTTGTATATAACTTTAGAGGTTTATTTTCTGCTTTTGTCCTTTCAGTTTGAATATTATGCTCTTAGACTTTAAGTTTTTATGGACTAGAAATGCAGATACATAAAAACATAATGCAGATCTTGAATTCATCTAATACTAAGAAAATAGGTGATTAAAACAGCCCCGTCCTAAACAAAAAAAAGCACCCCTTTATGTTTATATTATGATTCGAGTTAAATACACAATGGTTCAAATTCATCACACAATATTATTCAATAATACTATTCCAGCTTACGTACAAATTTGACTTAAGGATAGACCTCAGGAATGGAACTCGTTCTTAAACTGGGGATTACCTGTATACTCCTTTTTATCTGTGCGATGTTCCTTTGATGTTAGTGAAAACTTCTTAAGGAAGTCCTATTCAAACATGGAATGTAAACACCTTGAATACTGTGTTTCAAATTACAATGAAACATGATTAAGGAGGGGTTAAATTTTCCCCAGATAAGTAATTAACTTTTAAAAATGTCTTTCACACATAGCTGTCATTGTGTAGATATTTTTAATGCAGTACAATGAACTACTGAACATAATATAATAGCAGACGTAATGTTTAATGAATCATTAGGCAACAAGCTCCTTTGTAAGATAGATTTAGTATGAAGATTGACACTCTGTTCCAGATTTTGCAAAAATAAAATATTTTGTTCTCAGGACCATCAGTTACTTTTATATATTTTACTACCTAACTGTAAAATTTTAATGTGAGCAAACTAAACATTAGTCATATGCTTTGCTGGTCATTTGCAAAAATGTGCTGAGTAGAAGCTATTAATTGAAGTTGATGATTAAGTAAGAATTTAATGGCAGAATTTATACCAAGAAGCATTACTTTTTTTTTCTTTCGCATACTATAAAATGCATTAAAACCAAGGCATATCTTTGTAAAGCCTTTTAATGTGTTCTAATAGTTCAGTAATATCAATTTCAACTGATTTTCCTCAGGATCCTCTACAAAAAAACCATTATTATTATTACTATTATTATTATTAATTATTAATTATCCTTGGAATTTGACTAAACACAGGTATCTGTTTTGCTTCTCCTTGGCTTCAAATTCCTTATGATTTGCACAATTTATGAAGCTAGAATGTTTTCTTAGTTCCAGTTTGCTTTGTGTAAAGCAAGCCATAACGATTTATAACAGTGATTTATACACTGTGAACACTGGGCACTTTGTTCATGGTCATAAAGTTTCTGCTGTTTCTTTTTACTAAATGAAATCTACCTTGAATCTACCTTGAATGCATTTTTATCAAATAATTCTGTAATTATTTTCACTAATTTTGTTTGCACCTAGCATTTAAACTTTTGGGACTTTAGAAGAAATCTGACATGGCTGTTACTCAAATATATAATTCAAAATTATTTATATAAAGGAAATATAAAAGAAAATAAAGCTAAATTTTATCTTCCCTGTTCACCTCATATTAACCACACTTAGACATATAAAGTAGCCTGAAGAATTATTTTTTTTATAAAATCATGTTTTATAAAGTGAGATACGTAATCTCTGAAAAAAGTCACTTTTGTATCATAGAAATTAAATTAATAAATGCAAGGTTTCAAAACCTATTCTTATTGACAAAATCTTCAACGAATGCCCTTCCCATTTTCTCATAATAAAATTGACCAGAAATATAATGGGATGCCATTGATACAAACAGACCACATCCAGAGTCCCACATACAAATTGGTAAATGGGTTGATTCTTGCTTGGTAGTAGTTCTTATTTAAGCAAATTCAACATATTAAAGAAATAGTTATAAACTGCAAAATTCCTCTAAAAAGTAGTACAGGGAATATATTCAACCTTAAAGATATTTGCATGTTCTGTTACCTAAGTTATTTATGTTTTATCTTTTATTTCCGAGGATATGAATGTTAGGAAGATGAGCTATTTCACAGAGACTCAAAGCCATTCAGTTCTATTCAGATTCTGTCTGAAGCTGTAGAGACTTAATGAAAAATGCCTAAACATTGTTTCAGAGACCACTGGGTTACTTTCTAGTAGTTGTTTATAAATACAAAAAAGCCTTAAAGCTGTTAAAACTCATAGCCAAATGGTTGAGTGGAACTGTCTTCTTTGATAAATGTTTAACAAGTGCGATACAGCAAAGTGTTTATCATTTTAGGCAGAACTAATTAATCAGTTTCAAACATATATAAGTCTGCAGTGAGAGGCTAACATAAACTCCAGTAGCTGACATGATTCTTTAATACATATTTTATTTAACTTTACTATTCACATTCCTATATCAAGTACTTTTTAATTTTAGAATGAAATTGTAACCCAATATAGTACATCATTTTGAAGTAGATTAAATACAGTTCTATTGTCTGTATCTCTTCTACAATTTAGCATTGCTTATTTTAAAAAATACTTTAAATCCAATGCTGTTTGGATCTAACTGAATACATATTCACGTTCTTCCATTAAATTTTGGATCTATTCTAATGGAGATGTTGGGATTCTGAACCTGGGGATATTTGCATACAAAATATATAATCTATAACAGTTTAATGGATGCTTTCTTCAGTTTAGTTCCTCCTACAATGGCAGGTTATAAATCATAATTCAATCTGTGGATTGGATCCAGATACTTCCTGGTGGCTGCCTACTTCAAGGAATAATTTCCACTATTTCCTTCTTTCCCCTCCATTGCTGGTACTACCTTGTACACAGTTCTGGAGCACTCCACAGTTCATCAAAACATTTTAAGGAGTATAAATGTCTCTTGATGGGAAGGCAATCAGCAGAAATCACCTCTCCTTCTCTGCTCTCCAATTTGTTCAGTTTCATTCCACAAGTGCTTGATCCAGTTCAATAATCATGTAGCAGTTTGAACTACAGTCTCTTTATATGTCTATTAGTACGGACATTATTATGCTAATGCAATCCTATTTGTTTTTGCTTTGGTAGTAAAAAATAGATTATGTTAGAGCTTGTTTTCTTTATTTTAATAAATATACAAAATATTATTAATATATTGCAAATCCTTGTATTAAATACAGCATGTGTCATTACAATATATGCTAATGATTATTACTAAAAACTACAATCCTATATAATTAAAGGAAAGTTTTTAGAAACAGAGAGCACACTGTATTTTAATGATGTATTTCTTTAATCTGAAATTACTATTTTCAGGTACAGCTGAAAACCAGCTTTTCAAGTCAGTACATAATTCGTACCCAGCCCACAAATGCATGCCTGTCCACACTTGAATGTGCAGCTATTGCCCTTGCCATCATGGAAAAAAATGATGTTATTAAAGAGGTACGTAATTTTAAAGTCATGTACTCTGCTAATGGAATAGCCAAATGCAAGCAATGTGTTTTTTTTAAAAAAGACTGTTTTATTGGCCAGAGTTCAAATTTTTTCACTCCATCTTTTTTTAAAACTCCTAATTAAGAGTTGTAATGTATTAATTTTAGAAAATCTGGGAGAAGGAAATAGCATTCTCCTAAGTTTCTTTCTCTACCTTGCATATTCTTGCATATAATTAATCTTGCCACTCTTCTTCATATGCTTCATCCCATTCCTATGACACAGCTTCTAAAAGCTTCTCTTTCAACAATATGTATTGTTCCAATATGGCACAAAGCATGTAAAATCAATTTACTTGATTTTCACTGATAACTTTGTTAGCTAAGTAAGTGGGGCGGGGGGGGGGTAGTAATGAAGTAAAGGAGACTTTGAAAATATTTTGAAGAAAGAATCAGTGATATGTTTTTATACCAAGCATATGATATTAATATCTTCATATTAACATGCTTTTGATTAATTGGTTTTTTGTTGCATAACTTGTCACTAGGGTAGTCCTTGGCTTACATCCATCATTCAGCGACCATTCAAAGTTATGACGGCACTGAAAAAAGGATGTATGACCGGTCCCCAAAGTTCCAGCCATGGGTACCCAGCTCATGATTACAATGTTGCAGGGAGCCACAGTCACGTGATCACCATTTGTGATCTGCCCATTCCCCACCCTCCTGAAGCACCCCCATGTTCCTTACCTGGGACTCCCACTGCTTCCCTTTAATGCCCCATGTGTCTTGGGGTTACGATGGCAACCGGGTCTGCCAGGATTGCTGTCGCTAAGCGATGCAGTCACATGATGTTGTGCTTTACAACCACATTGCTTAGCAATGGCAATCTCACTCCCAATTTCCATTGTAACCTGGGGACTACCTGTATTCCATAGTTGCATTATACAGGTGGTCTTTCGTTAACAACCACTCATTCAGTGACCATTTGAAGTTACTATGGTGCTGAACGAGTGGTGGTTACAATCGGTCCTCAAAGTTCCAGCTGTCCCAGCACCCCCACAGTCACATGATCGCAATCTGGGCACTTGGGAACCAGCTCACACGTATGACGGTTGCAGTGTCTCGCATCACATGATTGGCAGAGAAGGTTGCTAGTTGCTCAGGTAAGACTCCCCCACCCACACACTCTCCCCCAGCCCCTCTGTGCTCATGCCTCCCTGGCCACTTGTGCACCCTCCCTGGCCACTCACATGCCCTCTCCCACCTGGCAGCAGCAACCCCAAGCCTCGACACGCTTGCACCTTGTCTCCCCAGCCACCCACACACTCCCTCGCTCCCTCTCCCACCCAGCAGTAGCTGCTACTGCTTCCTTGAATACATTGCATAGTTGTTATTTGACCATATATCTGTGGGACATTGCCAAGTTCAGTTTTGCAGAAGTACGTTTTTTTTCTCCATGTACAACATTAGTTTGACAGATTTCTGTACCTGAATCTCCAGTTGAGCAGGTATAAGAGGAAAATGGCAGCCCGCCCAGGTAAACCAAACAGGAAACACAACTAGATGAGCTAATTCTACTTTATTATTAGGCTACATTAATAGAATCTTGTGAGTCTGAAAGTACATATATCCCATTGTCCCTATTTACTGCCTGATCAGTTAGGGCAAATCCTTTCTAAGTTTCTTTCTCTGCCCATTACTCAGTTGCAGGCTCCTCTCCCTTTGAGCTCATTGTTCCCTAGGCAGCCTCTCTTCCTCCGTCTTCCAAGGTCATTCTCACATTCCATTACAGGAGAAGAGAAAGGAAGGAGGTATAAGATTTGCAAGTATGTTGCAACAGCCTAATCTTGTTTCTTTACTCAGAAATAAGTCCCTTTCACTTGCCAAGCCTTCCAAAAAATTGTATCTGAAATTGCAATGTCCTTCTCTGTCTCTTTTGCTTTTCCAATTAATCACCCCTTTCTTTTATCTCCTTTCCTTCTCTCTGCTATTTTAGTGCCATTGATTCCTCTCCTATCTCACAGCTGTGACTGCAGTTCCTTGTGCAGCTGCTGCTTAACCAACAATTATGACAGGACTTAGAAACTAGTCCTCTCATAATGTATGTGCAAGTAGAGTCTGTGAGGGGAAACAAAAAAAGAAAAGAAAAACATATAGCTTGCCTCTACTATGTAATAAGAAAATCAATATGTGAGCTTTGTAAAGGAATCTATTTGGATATTTATTGAAATTGCAACATATATCCCACTTGTAGCTTGGAATATTTGTTCCTTCACCCAGCCACACTCAGTTTTGAGGCTTAGTAAAAGCAAAATTGACTGACCTGAATGGCTACGGCTCTTTGTCAAAGAACAGTAGATGATTCTTGATTTGAGGATGACATTTGGAATAAGATGCAAGGACAAAAGTGTAACAAACTTTTTATAGGTAATAGCTCATGTTTGTGATCAGGAAGGGAAAGAAGTAGAAAGAGTAGGTGATAACTAGGATGGGAAGGTGGTCAACAATTCTGTGTCCTACCACCACCTTTCCAATATCAGCTAATTAATCTTTCCTAAAGTGAAAAATTGAAAATTTTTCAATTTTTTTCCCATGTACAGTATTAATTTAAGGTTGACAGATTTCTGCAGCTGAATCTCCAGTTGAGCAGGTATAAGAGGAAGATGTCAGCCCTCCCAGGTAAACTAGGCAGGAAACACAACCAGATGAGGTAATTCTACTTTATTGTTGGGCTACATTAATAGAATCTTTCAAGTCTGAAAGTACAGATCTCCCACCTAAGTTGAAAAATTGGCAGCCAGTTTGGTCTAGTGGTTAAGGCACCAGACCAGAAAGCAGGAAACTGGGTTCTACTCCTGCCTTAGGCATGAAAGCCAGCTGGGTGACTTTAAGCCAGTCACTCTCTCTCAGCCCAACTCATCTCACAGGGTTGTCGTCGTGGGGAAAATAGGAGGAGGAAGGAATATTATGTTCGCTGCCTTGAGTTATTTATAAAAATAATAAAGATGGGATAAAAAAAATCTAAATCTAGATTCTAAAAATGGATCTCAGGTCCCATTATATGATGACACCTCACCCTCTGTAATGATTAAATTGGTTGTCTCATTATTGCTGAGGCAATTGACAATGGTCAAAACTTGTTGCTTTACCTTCAAATTGATCTCAAAAATACTGTGAGGAAAATCCACATCACACACGATCATGAAAAATGGTACATGAAAAAATGAAATACTTTAGAGGATATAAAATGTGAAGAGTGGGTTATTTTGCTGTGTGTATAATTTGGAGTTATTGACAGTTTTTCCTACTTTTACCTCCTGGTACCCCTGGATCTATTTGTAATCTACCATTTTTCAATCTATCCTGTTAACCAAATTTGCACTTGCTACCATTGTTTGAAATGAATTATGAAGATAGCCATTGTTTCACATTAGGTCTCTGGCAAGGTCTGTCTGCAAAATGGAATTAATATGTAATATTATAGAACACAGAAAGTATGTCTTCCATCTCCCCTCCTTTACAGTCGGATAAGTGTTTTAGACATATATTGTAATCTATTTACCTATTAAATAATCTAGTAATTATCTTTCATTGTGTGTGTGCAGGCATGTTTATATACATGAAATATACAATAACCAGATTTGTTATAAATACATTAAACAGTGCAGTAGCATCACTAGCAAGCTCTGAAATATTATAAAACTCTCATATCTTATTTCAATCAAGTGATTAATAGTCCTATGTGCAAAATCATTATTTCACAAGTTATTTTTCAAACAGACCTAAGCAAACCTGGTAATCAGCTTGAAGATTTAAAAGTATCTGTAAACCCACCCCCAATTACTTAATGTACATACATTTTGTATCAAAACGTTGACCATAGGGGTTATTTCAATCTACTAAACAGCTCAAAATTGTCAAATGCCATTACAAGAATTTGGCACATGACATCCCTAGTGGTTAAGTTTATTCTACTAGGTCAAAGAAGAACAATAAGACATTAACCTTTGTTTTGCAAGAGATCCCACTGCTTTGTGATGGAAAACTCTGCCAAAATATTAAAATGCCTTCCATATACTTTGCCTTTTGGACATATCACTTGAAGTGGCTGTTAGCTTTTCCAGAAATCCCCAAAAAGAAGATTTGTGATATAAAGCTTACTCCTTATTGCACACATTTAGACTAAATAGGCTGAAAAAGCTTTATAAAATTCTTTAAATATATTGGAATCTAGGTAATATGCAGAAAAACATAGGTTTATCAAATGTGTATAGCAAAAAAACTATGGCTATCTTTGAATTTTTGGAAGATGTTTCTATCATGCCATAATGAAACTTGAAAAGTTATATTTGATGCTTGCACATGTTACTTTTTAAATTGTGTACACACCCAAAATCATGGTAAGTAGGAGCACCTAGCTAATCTGGTCTGGGCTTGAAAGCTAAGCAGGACCAGGCATATTTAGATGGGAGCCCAGTAGGACTATATACTATACTGGGAAGGTGAAAAATATCCCAAAAGGATATAATGGCAAGCAATTTCTGTTACACTCCCCAAAAAACTACATGTATGTGTCATGAAGTCACTGGGAATCAAGGTCAACTTAGATAAGACTTCTCTTTTACAAATCCAAAAAAGTTATCCATGAACCAACTTGGACAAAGGCTAATAGTAGCAATTGAGGAAGAATAAGACAATACCCAATGACAAAAAATGCAAACAAAAAAAAAAAAGCACCCCTTTATGTTTATATTACAAAAACTTTCTCAAGACATTAATAATTCCATCTTGGTAATTGCTTTGGATTTCAGTTTGCCTTAGTCAAATCTAAAAAAAAATATTAGCATTATAAATGTGTTTTTATCTCAAAAGAAAGCTTCCTGAATCTTGAATTTTCATCAATCAGATCTCAGCCTTGGACATTTTTTCATTACATTTGTATAGAATTTGATGTGGGGACGGTGATTTTCAAAAGTATCTTCCTTCCACTTCTTTTGTTGTTATTATTATTGAAACATAACAAAGAAAAAGTAATACAGCCAAACTACTTTGATCATTCCACCTATCTGTCTACCCATCCATCCATACACACACCAACATTATATACACTATCACACGCTATCACACCCATATCCACCCATACACACACTAACACACTATGAAAATAGTGACTAATGTAAATTAAAAATTAAGAAAAAAAGAACAAAATCCATATAATATAAAACTAGTCAAAGCTTTAATATCTTTATTACCTAGATCATGTAGAAATATATTGTTCAATTTACTCATTTTTAGAATATAAAAAGATTTCACAAATTAATAAAGAATACATCTCTTGAATCTACTCTTTAACTTCAGGAGTGTAACTTTCTAGCTAAGGAAATTAATCTTTTTCTCTTTGCTGAACCCCAGACTTGATAGAACCAGAGTTCTTTATAAAATGCCAAATTCAATCCTTTTTCAGTCATCAAATCCAGAAATCATCATTTCCCTTTTATCTATTTTCAGCAAAAAGTCCATAAAGGATTTCCAGTCTTTTATAGAAGTATTTATTGTTTTGTCCCTGTCCAAACAGGTTGTTTTGCCATTTCTGCCATTTTCACAATCCATTCCTCCATTGTGGGTGTTTCAGTATTTCTCCATTGTTGTACATATAACAATCTTGCTGCAGTCATCATATATAAAATCAGTCTTCCATGAGCCTTTTCTAATTGGCTATCCATAAGTCCTAATAAAAAAAGTTCTGGCTTTTTCTCAATATTAATCTTTAAAATTCTTTGTAAATCAGTGTATGTATTTGTATCCAGAATATTTTTGGCTTTTTCACAAGTCTACCATGCATGGTAAAATGTCCCTTCCTGTTTTTCACATTTCCAACATTGATTTGAAGTACCTTTATACGTCTTATATAATTTTTCTCGAGTCATATACCAAAGGTACATCATTTTACAAAAATTCTCTCTTAAATTGTAACACAATGTGAATGTCATCCTATTTAGCCACATTCTCTCCCATTTCTTCATCTGTATATTATAACCAAAATTCATGGCACGTTTTATCATGCAATCCTTAACCTGTTCCTCCTCCATTTCAAATCTGAGTCGGTCACTCAGGCCCCAGTCATCTCCCATATAGACTATTGCAATGCGTTCTACATAGGGCTACCCTTGAAAAGTATCCGGAAGCTTCAGCTGGTTCAAAACGTAGCCGCACATGCAATTTTAGGTGCCCCAAGGGTGGCACATGTTACACCTTTGCTATGTGAGCTGTATTGGGTCCCAGTTTTCTTCTGGGTCCAATTCAAGGTGTTGGTTATCACCTTTAACGCCCTACACGGCATGGGACCGGGTTACCTGAGGGACCATCTCACCCCCATTATATCCACCCGTCCCACCCAGTCAGGCAGGGAGGGTATGCTGCGGACCCCGTCAAAGAAAGAATGTCAACTGGCAGGGTCCCAAAAGAGAGCCTTCTCTACCATGGTCCCTGCCCTATGGAATACTCTCCCCCCAGAGGTGAGGCAGGCTCCAACTCTCTTGTCCTTCCGGAAAGCAGTCAAGACCTGGCTCTGCCAACTGGCATGGGACAGAAAAAAGGGCAACCCACCCTGGGGGTGGCTAGCACCTTGAAGATGCTCCCATATGTTAACATCTTACTGACCATCAACATCTTGGAAGATATTATTTGTGTATGGGTTTGATTTTTATTCTATTTTTACTGTATTTTATATTGTTTTTCTTGTTTTTAAATATTTATTGCTGTTTTATTGTGAACTGCCCAGAGTCACTTTTTGTGAGATGGGCAGTATCCTAAATTTGAAATATAAATAAACAAACAAACAAATAAATAAAAGTTTATACATTTTTGCAATCACGTGTTCATCAGTTCAGTTTCAAATTCCATCTTATGTTGCTCAATTCCAGTTCTTTTTATCTATATTAAATCTTTCTCTTAAATGTGCATATGAAAACCATTGAAAACTAAATCCGTCTGCATTCAGTTGTTCTCTTGGCTTCATCTTAATTTCTCCATCTCCCCTGTATTGACAAATCTTGATATGTTAACCATTTCTCTTTGCCGACTGTTTCTTTTCTATAAAATGCTCCTGTGCTGAGACCAATAAAGGTATTTTGGGGCCCAGCCTGGGATTGTATTTATTTATTCTTAATATGACACTTCTTACACAATGATTTTTGAAATCTACATTATCTTAAACTTTGTTGTACCATAAAGTCCATACCAATCAAATCTCAGGTTATGTGCTTCTCATTCTTACATTCTTTTATTTCTCAGCAACACCCACTTTTTCATCCAAACCAAGTAGCAGGCTGCAAAATATAATTTAAAGTCAGGCAATCCTAATCCTCCTCTTTCTTCTGCATCTTGAAGAATTTTATATTTAACCCTTGGTTTCTTATCTTGCCATATAAATCTGGATATATCTTTTCGCCATTGCTTAAAAAGTGCATCATTTTTCAAAATATATTTTGTCTGAAATAAAAACATCATTCTAGGTAATACATTCATTTTCACCACAGAAATTCTTCCAAACAATGATAATTGTACCTTTTCGTATCTTAGTAAGTCCTTCTTGATTTCATTCCGCACCTTGACATAATTATTTGAAATAATGTACAATTCATATTAGTCATGGTAATACCCAGATATTTTACTTTTTTCTCTATCTGGAAACCAGTTTTTAACCACCAACTCTTTCTGATCTTCCATCTTTAAATTCTTTGTTAACCTCTTCGTTTTTTCCTTGTTAACTTTAAATCTAGCTAATGCACCAAATTCTTTTACCATTTTTAGTGATCTGGGTTGATCTTTAAAAAAAAGAAAGAAAGAAAGAACTTCCATATTATTGCCAGGGAAACTACATGATGTGACGTTGGGTCAGCAGAAGTTGAGCTCAACTCAGGGGAATCTTTACTCTCTTATCTCTTCTTATACTGTTTATGAAGGCATTTTTGGACCTTCAGGATTTATAATTATGTCATATGCAATGGAAAAAAGTATATCCTTCCTATATTTAGCATTATTGAAAATGGATTTATGTGAGACTAGGCTGAAGCTGCCATAACCTAAAGATGAAGCAGGCTAAGCAGAGAGGACAAAAGCCAGGAATCTTATCTATGAGATCCCTTCAGGGAGGTAGATAAGGAAGCAAGTCGTTAAGGAAAATTAAGGAAAAA